TCAGAGCATACAATGCCTTCTTCGATCTATATAATGTTGATTCCTGGTTTTTAATAACAAAACCACGTGGTTATGCCACATACACCTCCTCATCTAAAGGACCATTAAAAATGCATATTTGATATCCATTTGATAGATGGGCCAATTATTGTTATTTGCAATATCAATATTGCCGCATAACAACAAGCAAAAAATAAGTTATTAATTTACCAGGTGATATTTAGATTATATCGCATCATGTCCATAGAGATTGATTATCAAATCGTCGTTCAACAAATTATTCATTAATGAGTTTGAGATTTGAATTTGGATAAATAGTATGAAAGGTAAAAGTTATTACCAGGAAATAAATCAATTCTTCATAGGAGAAACTTATTCAGCATGCATATAATCCACTTCTCACAAACTTAAATCTATCGACTCTCAACGGCGATCTCTTAACCAACCTCAACAACACAGAAGTCAATCGTACTAATCGCGTCGACGATCTCTCAAAGCAACACAACCAACACTAAAGCATTAATCACAGACATCCAAATGAATGTTAGCTCTAAATCTATCTTTAGAATCCAAAAACTAACGGACTATCATCTTAAATAAGAATTCGAACAATATATGTCTATAGTAACTCAAATTCCTAACACGGAGCAAAAATCAAGGATAACAATCGACAAAAATTTATAAAACAAATTAAATATAACGTCATGGGCGACAAATATACATAAGATCAAAATATATATACAAACCTAACAAAAAGATAATACACAAAGATAAAGAGAAGTAAACTATAAATCTCCGATTTATCAGCGCCGATTGAAGAGCAATCCACCCCGAATCATCTGTATGCAAGCTCAGTTAATCCTAAGGAAAAATGAGGTTCATAGAGTTGAAAGATCAAAAACCACAACCCTAACAAATGAAATGAAAATGAAATATAAAGAAAAATCTAGTCTGCACGCGTCGTCCGACGACATAAAAACTCCGCTAGGCGACAACCATTAAATACAAGGTCCAGATTGCGCCACGTACAAAACTGGTCTCAAATATCTTGCTCCGCCCGACAAAGAGAAGCTTCGCCCTACTACAACCTTATTTCTCGCCCAACGAGCTGCTGACGAGCCCAAGTTAGCGGCTACTGGAAAAATGATCCAATCCTCCCGCCCCTCAGTCGCCCAACAAGGCAGACGCGAAGACTCCTCGCCTAGACTTCACCCGACAAGGCACACCAGAACAACAACTTTTATTGCTCTTCTTGCATAACTCCAATGGCTCTCTCTCTCTCTCTCTCTCTCTCTCTCTCTCTTCTTGGCCTTATTCCTTTATTGATCCAACAATTCATCTTGAAGTTTTTATTCCTCTTGCTCCAACAATACTCAAATACCTACAAAATGAATAAAAAACAAATATCTCCAATACAACCTTTGTATTTCTAGAATTTGACATAATACAAGTATCTCCAATCACTACAATTTTAACACAAGCTTTATAACACAACTAAAGTCAGAATTTTTTAGTTGTAAATAAATAAACAAGGATCTTCTCTGTCTTATGAGGGTAGTCTACGAGCTTAATTAAACCATTGATGATAATATGTGCATTCTCAATGACAGCTTCTTGTCCTACATGCATCAACATAGTTTATATAAGACAATATTTAAAGGCCATTCTTTCTCAGTTAATTGACAACTATCTTAAGAAACACAAGAATAAAAAAAGACAACTAAATCCTGAGAATGATATAACACATAATCCACAATTTTGTAAACAAATCAAACCATGCGTTTCCAGTTAAATAGAGAAGGATCATACACTTGACTCAAAAATATTCAAATATATATCCCCTTGAAAATAGAATAAATGAAACAAAATAGAAACTATAACATAGTTAAATGAAGGAAAAAAATAAATCTTAAACATGCAATCCATACTTTGAAATATGGTAAAATGGATATGGCCTCAAAATAACTAGCCATGTAAATGACTAAACTATCTACTGATTCAAAACTTCTGAACAAAATTTTGATCCTGCTACACACCATAAGTCCCAAACCTGCATACAAGATGCCACTAAGAAACCAAATAGAAACCAAACTAAACTATCAACGACAACCTTTTCAAATAGAATTAAGAATTGATACTTAGGTTATCTACAAAATCTTTAAAATACAATTATAGCACAAAACCAAAATCAAAATACATTTTCATTGGCAAATGACTATCAAGATGAACTACAAAATCTTTCAAATACAATTAGTTGATTGCAGGGTTTTACAACTACCAAGGCCTTCATCAACTAATTTAAAAATAAGTTCTTTATTAACTAAGCTAAATGATCATTTGACCATCAATTTGTTAGTAGTTTTGGTCCATTTAGTTTCTAATTCATGATAATTAGGAATAAGTTGATATATGTAGACATTTTCAAAAGTATTGAAATTGAAAAAGAACTACAGAACTACCGGGTTATCTAGCAGAACTACAGAAATTGAAAAAGAAATTTTCAAAAGTGTTGATATATGATAAATTTCTAATTCATGTTAACTAAAGAACTACCAGGTTGAAATTGAAAATGTATTGATACATAATACATTGTTGAGAAAACATTATTCAAAACATTACAAACCTGAATCAAAATCACCCTTGAAACAAAACAACAAAGTCAGAATCAACATTAGAATTCGAATTTGAAACAAGTCCAACAAAGTCAAAATTCGAAACAAAAAAAAAACTCAGAAATCAAAAAGGTTACCTTGCAAATGAAAGTAGACCAATGGTAGAACGACAATCACAACCGTAGAATAAAAAATACTAAATCAGAATTTGAAACCCTAACAAAACAAAATAGAAAAAATAAATCAAAACCAACAAGCTTGCAAATAATAAGGAGAAAGGGAGATTTCGTGTTGATTCAGGTTTAGAACAACAAAATCTTCCAGGTGTTCGTCAAGATCGGTGAGAAAAGGAGTAGTGGTTTGTGAGGAAGGCGATGGTTGATGAGAGAGTCGGTGACTGATGGTGACTGAAGGTGGTTGTCTGAGGGTTCGTCGTGGCGGCGGTTGGTGAGAAACACCTAGCTTTGCTAGGGTTTCATATCGTGCGAGAACGAGAAGTGAGAGAGTGTGCGAGAGAACTCAGAGCGCGTTGTTGTTTGTTTCCCTTGGTGTCAAATAGTGTCTCAACATCAACACACAAACTAATTGGTTCGGGCGGGTCTGGGTACCCGTGGTTCATGTATTCTTACTCGGCCCGTCCATTAGAACCCATCCCAACCCGGTTTTCTCACCTGCGGGTCCATTGGACCGTTTCAAACCGTCTATTTTGCTTATTTTTTTTCGGTTTTGGGTGGGTTGGACCGATTTATCGGGTTTTGTCCACCTCTATGTACAATTATTTGTCAAAGCAGTGCAAGCGGTATTTTGGATATGTGCAGATCATTCTAAGATCTTCCTTTCAGACAATTCTTGAGAGTATTGTTCGCAGACAACTGGGTAATATTTTGGCAGATTTTGAGAGTCCTCAAGTATCAAAGAAGTATCAGAGTCAGGTGACCACATATGAGCGGTCTTATGTAGATGGTTATATGACTTGGTTTTATTCTGTGTCACATCTTTACATGACACCAGGCGTTCCTGAATGTCCCCTAGGTCTGTTCATAAGGAGATCTTGAAGAATGAGCAGGACGGGAATGATCATGTTATTGATGTGTTATCGATCTGTCAGAATATTATGCAGATGACATGAGACGACATCGAGTCTGAGTTGTTTAAGAAAGGTGAAGATGAAGTGGTTGTCCTAACATGTTCCATTCTTGCTGAGGTACGGAATTCCTTGGGTTACTGTAGGCAGAGAAGGAATCGGAGTGTTAGGATTAGGCATATTCAGTAGAATATGCATTTGATTGTATTTTGTATATGTTTTCATACTTTGAGAATAATTTTTGTACTATGATTGTCTTTCTGATTAACTAACGCATTACTTTGTTCTATGATATTCGTGTTTATTGATCTTTGAAACAAATAATGGAAATGTTAATCGAATTAAAATTACTTTGGATTGAAAAAACTACAATCTCAGTACACTGTTTCTGCACAAGAAACATGCAGGAAAGACTTCAGAGATGTATCTACGAATTTACTTCGCAAATAGTTCGCAGATACATCTCCGAGCTATTTTCTTAAGAAATAAGGTGGCTGTTTGATTTACTAAGGAAACAAGGTGACTTCGGAGATGTATATGCGAATTAACTTTGGATTTATTCGGAGATACATCTCCGAACTAAGTTTTAGTAACAAAAAAAAATATTTGGTTCATTGACAGATGTATCTCCGAATAAATCCAAAGGTATTTTGAGATTTTCAGATGTGCGTCCTACTCCATAAAAATGGAAAGAAAATTTTCCTTTCAAAAAGCCTCATGATACGCCTATAAGAGATCAATTAATATATTGAGCGCAACTCGCATTCTCAAATAAATATTAATGGTGTAATCTATGCAATATTAAATGGTCTTTTTGAATTTTCATATGATCATATATGGGTATAAAGTAGTGCATATGAATCACGTAAAGCTTCAATTTATTCAAGCGAATTCCTTTGTTTTTGTTAGAAGTGTTGTGCAAAATGCATGAATCATAATACATGTGTGTTTGAAGAGATTGTTAGAAACATAGAGGTTAATCATTTTGTGTTTTGTTTGCTTGGAGTGCAGTTTAGCTTCAAAGTCTAAGTGAAACTTGAAATGCAAGTTTTCTCTATTTCAGCTAAGAGCTCAGAGTAATTAATCAATATATGATTTTGATATAATAATACTCGGTTTGCTTCTCTATTTCCATTTGTAACTTCATTTTCTACCAACATTTTTTCTTCAAAGGCAATGAAGAAATTCATGTCTAACATATAATCAGAGCAAACGGATCAGTTTGCTTCTATATATTCAAACCCGCGATCAATAATAACAATAACATTTACAAATCTAATATCAAAAATAAAATAAAAAAACCTCTATGGAGAATTTGGAGTAGACAAACTTGCACAAGCCTCTCTACTAATGCACCAAACACTACTCCTGCTTGGTGTAGTTGTTATTACATCCTTGGATTTGGCATCAAAAGATTCATGTTCAAAATCTGAAGTACTGTTGCGAGATTGACCATCTGCTTTGTTCATCTTTTGAAGTAAGGATTGCCTAATATGTGAATCCGTCATCCAAGTTTCAGAGATATTTGTTCCAGGAGAGGAACTTAGTGAACCAGAATTGCTTAGAGAATCCTCTTGCAATATATCTCCAATTCTAGTTAGTATGCTGAATGCTAAATTTCCAAGAACTCTGGAATAAGCTTCCAGAATCGAATGTCCAATATCCTACAAAAAATATGCAATATGTGTTTCTTTAGTCAAAATAATTTGTCAAATGCATGCATCATACTATAAACTACAAATGCTTGCCTTGCCATATTGTACTTTAGCAGCATCAAGAAATGTTTGAGGAAGGTTGGGGTATCTGATTTTAAGCAGCTGTAACAGTGTTTCGGCGCGATCCAATAATAACTCTGTTTTATCAACTTCTGACAAAGGGCCCTTCACAAAAGACCATGAGGTTCTAGCTGGTGATTTTCCAGTGACTTGTTCCACAGTCCTCTCTTTCAAAGAGAATATAACAGCTTCCAATTTATTAATGGTCTCGAGAGCCATATGTTCAGATTTCAAATTCAGAGATTTAAGGATGTCTTCTCCGCAGCTTGATTCAGTTGTCAAAACCTTGTGCAGTTCTAGTCCAAGGTTTGCCTTTCCTGACTGCAACATACAAACATGTAAAAGATCAATTTAATTCATTAATCAAGAACCAAATCACATATTAAGTGTCTAAAGTTAAACGCCTTTAATGCATTAAAATTTAATTTCCTTGTAGTTATTCAACATTACCAAACAATTTTACCTTTGAAAGTGCATCTTTAATAACTCCCGGCACAGGCATTTCAAGCAACACATTTTCATTGATAGATTTGGCAGCCTTGAATACTTGATGAACCACCCTTCCCTGATGAACCAGCCTCTTTCTTTCGGTGTCAGAAAGACCAGTCTTAGGCACTTGAGGAGATGGAAGCCACCATCTTTTACTATGTTGCTCACTAGTGTCTTTCCCTTCGGTCCGGCTTCCTCCCTCTGCATACCAAAACTCTGTTTTCACCATCGAATCAAGTGCCTCCTGGCAACGACAAATAATCCAAATAAGATGTAGTAGCCTAAAATGTTACTAGTAAATATATTGCAAAATTGCATGTACATGAAGAAAAAAATGACAGAAAATAGTGTTTGTAATTATGCTACGAGTCAATAAGAAGACTTTTCTTAGAACGGATAAATTTGAGAGAAAAAAAAAGATGTTCATGATCATTGTTGATTGCAGTAAAGAGATGACATACGATAAGCATAGAGTCCAATTTCTGGAGTGCTGGAAGATTCATATGAATGTCTGCACGGGCTTTCGGTGTCATGATCTGTTCCAAGAAAAAAAAAAACTCTTATTTAGCGGCAAGATGATGTATAAAATAGTTTATTCTTTTTCTATCAAGCTGATACGAAAGATACCTCAAAGATCCGGCCATTAGCATTGTTTTGCTTAGCAGGAACTAGCTCAACCATATAGTTAGTAGGAGACAATAACCAATCCAATTCTCTCCGCCATTTGCACTTCCTTTCTTCAGATAAAGGCTCCAATTTCCAAAGCTCACCAAAAACAGTAACTGCTAGGTTTGTGATGGCATTAGACAGTGCCAAAGCGGTAGCGATGCCCTTAGTTCCTCCTGTAACATCTTCACCAAGTAATAGCTTTGAAAACTTTTCCTTCATGGCTTCAATATCTGAATGTTGAATTGCATAAGGTTTCTCTTTGACATAAAACTGTTGAGGACTTTCAGAGAGTTCCCATTCTTCAAGTCCTTGTTCATCCTCCCTTTTCATTGTTAAACATTTCGAAGAGAATGATCCAAAAGCATCTTTGCTTGAAGAACAGCTTGAATCATCTTCATCAAATGAATCAGTTATGCATCCATCACCTCTACTAGTTCTGCTTTCCTCTTCATAAGATTGGTTATTTAGAATGCAACTCTCAAGACCCTTATATGTCATGATTCCTGAAAGGTTCCAATATATAAATTCATTAAAAAAATATGACTTTTCATAAAGGGTTATACTTAAATATAAAAATATTAGTACACATAACTAAAAATAGTCTACAAAAATGAAACCTTACACTGAAAAAAACTAACCAAAAAATGAAATGAAACCTGGCTGTCAATGCTAAAACAATGCAAGAATATATTCTCTCTGCTGTAGGACAAATAAGCTATGCAGGCATACATACATCCAAAATAGCAATATGACTAAACAACATGGTTAACATTTAATTAAAACCATAATGATTTTTCGGTTGCATAAAAACAAGAAACTTTAGTACATTAGTACACAATTATTTGATATATTATTTAGGTAAAAGCATATAAGCTCTCAGAAATCAAAATTTTCTGCGCTGTTATTGGCAGATAGCTCAACTAGACGAATTTAAAAAAGTAGTAATTCACAAATATGTAATCGATAACTTTGAATAGTAAGGAAGAAAAAAAAACAAATATGTCACAAATGGTCAAAAGCGAATAATTGAGATTCCATCACATCTCTGTCACGGATATGGAGTACTTCATAGTTGGTATAAAGTTTTATACACCAACCAAACAATGTCAAGTATATCTCTGCAATGGCAGATTATCATGACATATTAATGTAACTATTGCAAGATATACTGACAAGAATATATGTTATTATTATTGCTGGAATTCACATACTATTTGTTTTATGTCAGAATAACTTTATTAACATGGCATGATAATTAACAAGGTAATTATTGTTAATCTGTTGTTTATATAATCCTTTTTAAAATTATTTATATATATATTTATGAAACCACAATGTTAACATATTTACAAGATTCATGAACTTTTATATTTTCATAAATAGTGTGAACTAAAGGTATTTATACAAATATTAGTCAACTACGTTTTACTAGGACAAATATACTTGAATGGAATAGAATAGAGAAGCTTCCGAGGTTATGACAGGATAGAACAATGATTGCATCTAGTTAAATCCTTGAAATAAACATATACTAATAATATAAATAAAAAACAAAGGACAAAAAGGGCCAAGAAGGAGATTAGAAAGCACCACAGAAGACCAAATAGTAAGAAAATAACTAACATTAAAATATGAGTGTGCATGGGGATTGACTTGGAGACGACAACAATAGACGATAAAACTTTCTCTAAAAGAATTTAACACATACATTCTCCAGCACGATTCAAACCTAAGACATCTGGTTAAACTAAAAGAGAATCTAACAACGAGGATGGAGTATTAGATATCATTTGGAAGCAAGTTTTTGAACAAATTGTAACTTGCATAAATGTCCTTGAAAAATTTAGAAGTTTTGTGAATAGTAAGGACAAAAAAGGTAGTTTCCTTAAAATTTAGAGGATATGGGGAGTGAAGGTACAAACTACCCCACAATGAAACAATGCAGGCATTAAGTTCATTCTGTGAGTATATCTATAAGGAGGGCCATGGAGTGAAATGAGTAGTAGTTATGCCCAATAAAAACACTCATGGTCCACCTACTTGTCGGTCAATGGATTTCAGATTGAAACATTGTTCCATTTTACTAGTGTCTCATATTGAGAGTCGAAACATTGAAACACAATCACCCTTCTACTTGTTTGACCTAAATTATAGCCTAGTAAGTATAGCAAACTTGAGAACTAGAAGGAAGTCGATATGAAATGATTAAATTCCCCATTTCTCCATATATTTACGCTAAGTTTTGAATAATCAATATATATGAATTATATATGGATCGGAGATCAGATATATTGATTATTCAATATATTAAAAAAAAAAAATTTCTTATAATAAATATAGAGAGTTCTAATACATCATATACATCATTTTTTTAATAAACTAAAAAAATCAATTTAATTTATCAGAGTGACCGGAGATATATGTAAGAAGATCATGGTGATAATTGGATAGCATATGAAATTTGAAAGTGTGGAAGTGCTTTTCATGGACCACAATGTTACATCCATTGGTAAGCAATTCTCATTGTAAGGACTGTTTTTGTAGATATCATTAAAAGATGATTACGTTCATTAGTCTTTCACAAATTTATGTCATTTATGTTGAGACCGCTATCTATTTTGAATGGCAAATTCATGTGCTTGGTAATTGGTATGTTGCAGAAAACAACTAAGGTGCATTTATGACTCGTGAGCTAGGACTATGAGACAGGTACAAATGTCTCCTATAATAAAGGACTTACTCAAACTTAGAAATACTGTATCGTTAGAGAGGTTTAAGTAGCTATCCATTTCAAATTCAAATCTAACTATTGAGAAATTAACCAAAATTAATACATGTATCATATCATATATTTTGAAAATTTTAATTAATATGTTAATATGCACATACAATCATTTGTGTAAAACTATTTTACACAATTAATTATCATAAACGTTAGATGTATGTAGATGTTTGACTTTTAATTTATCAAAAATAAAATAATTCAAATGAATAGTTGTAATGTCTTGTTATTTTAAAAAAATTTAATAATTGTGATGGATTGACCGTTTAAAATTTTATATATCAACTGTGCAGAACAATTAATCTCTATTTGAAAACAGGCATGCCAAATTTATTTTCTCACTTTTATTATATTATTATTTGTAGAAATAACTATGTGTTAATAATACACAATTTTTTTTGACAAATTTATGATCAAATTCAATTTTCATTACACTTGTTAAGCTACTTAATTAGTAGCTGTAGAAAATATACTAATAAAAAATTAAACTACTCTTAATTTATTCTGTCAGAAAAAAGTAAGTGGATGTTAACTACTTAATTAAGATACATAAACAAAAGTTAGGAAGACTACCTTTTGAAAAAAAGAAGTTGAAAGTGGAACCCTTTTTGAAATGGAACGATCCACCATCTTTATAAATTAAGAGTAGTACTATTCTTGTAATTAAATCTTACATCATATATACACCAAACACTATTCGGCATATTTATATGGTAAATAGTATTTTTCAAATAAAAATACATTTATAAAGTGTAATATATTATTATAATAATTTTTTAAAAAAATTATATTTTTTAATAGTAAAATAAAATTGATTAATAAAATATAAAAAATTGATTAATAAAATAACGAAGTTGGTTAATAAATGACTAAATATTAAAAATAATTTAATAGTAAAAATTATTTGGACGGTATTAACTAACTTCATAACTAAAAAAATTATAAATTTTTATTAAAAATATATTATATATAAAATATGGTATTTGATGTAAATATTGAGATAAGATATGAGTGTATGAATAGCATTTCTTGTAAATTAACTATATGTCCTTATCTTTCGAACAAAGACTTTGTAACAAAAGATAAATTAATGTTTCTTTTAGAAACTAAATACTACATCAACACCAACAACAATAACAGCAACAAAATAATAATTATTATTATTTTAAAATAATAAAAAATATATATACAACAAGTTTAAATAAAAATATGAACTTACTTTCTTGATCATGATCAATGCTAATTTTCCTCCCCCTGGTGCAACAACCTAGTCCTTTCTTCATCTTAAACATCCCTTTCACTTTGACAATTGCTCTGTGGCTTCAATAACTCTTACTCTGAACCCTTCACCAACCATGTTCAAAATACTTATATCATATTTATAAATAATTTTCAATAAATATATAATAGCCATACTTTATAAAAAAATTGAAATTCATGTATACTGAGTAAAAAAACCATGGGCCACCCTGCCATGACAGTATTCCTAAGCATTTAATTTTACATACCAAGTCACGTTCAACCACTAATTTCAATTTACATTAAGAGAAAATGTCACACTCAGATTAATATTAATCACCGATTGACGCTTAAACAACATAGTTATATTAATTAATCAGAAAAGGTGTTAATTATAAAGGGGTAAAAAAGTAAAAGTGTAGAGTGGAGTGAGCAAAAGGTATTAATGATGATAACTTTATGAAAAGGTGGTCAAAAAATCAGAAAGTGATTCTGAAATCATAACAGTAAAAAATCCACTAGGTCATGCATATTCTACATTAAAAAAATGAAAAAAATTCAAAAAAAAAAACGGAAAAAGTTTTTAAAAGGAAATGAAGAAATTGAAGTAAAAAAAGAGAGAAAATCACAACAACAAAAATCAAAAAGAGAGTAAAAAAAATTTTCGGAACTTTAATTTTCTTAAAAAAAGACTAACAAAATTAACTTGAAGTTCGAAGTTGAAAACGAAAGAAATTGAAGAGAGCATACCTCAGATGGCATTCTTTTCCGGTGGAAAGTTTAATGGTGATGGAAAGCTTAAGCTGATAGCAATGGCGTTGTAGAGAGAGAGAGAGAGAGAGAATTGAGAAGAGGAAAATATGGAGGAATGGATTTAAGAGGAGAGATGAAGGAGGCTCCTCTGCACAGTGACTGAACATGGACCGTTGAAGCTGGAATGAACTTGATTCTATTTGGACGGTTGAGATTGTTAGAGGGATTGGTAAAGTGGGGTCATATTGGGTGAGTGGGCTATTAATATCAGTTGCAGTTGGTAGTTTTTGGTATTAATGAAGTTTTTGGATTTCAATTTTCAAATTGTGGTGCTCACTCGTTATTCTACATCACCTGCTACTTAGCTAAATAATGCTACTTGCCAATCTAAGTTTTTCTTAATGAATGAACTTTCCATTTTAGTGATGTCTTTCGAATCTTTGAGAACTCAAAAATATATTTCAAAAGTTTGGAGATTTAATTTTTAATACATTTAAAATTACATTAGTTTTCAATTTTTTTTTATTTCATCTGTTTTTAAAAGAAAAAAAAAAGAAAAAAAAAAAAATATATATATATATATATATATATATATATATATATATATATATATATATATATATATATATATATATATATATATATATATATATATATATATATATATATATATATATATATATATATATATATATTGTTTAGAGATTTTGTGTATTTGAAAATATATCTCAAAAATATCTTATACCTTTTGATCTGACCTGATCAGAGTTGGACCGTCACAGCTGGTTTCGAACTTCGGGCTGAGTTTGAAATGAGATAGGGGTACCTGCAAGACACTCTGATGACAAAGTGAGAGGCGGAATGAGCAAGCAAGTATGAATTTAGGTGTGAATGAATGAATACCTGACCCTCTCATGAGAAAGGGTATTTATAGCCCCCAACACTGGGCCAAGGTCCCCACTATTAAGTCACGTAGAGGCCCAATAACGGAAACTGTCAGGGTTTACGTGAGTATGGAGTCCAGCAAGTGGACTCCCCCTGATCAACCGCTCTGCGAGAATAGGGTTGGACCCGAGATTCCCGGAGGACAATTTGATATGTCCGTTGAGAAGTGGTGGGCCACGTCCCCCAACGGTTGGATGGGGAGGTGCCCCACAATCTCTAACTTGAGTTGACTTTGGACCTTTCGTTCGTAGGGCAAATGTAGGTCCAGTCCAGATCAGGAGCCCTCCAAGTTATTGTTCTCGAGTTAGAGGGTGATGACTTGAGTTCAGTTCTCGTTATCGAAGGCTTGGTCGGGGTAGAGGGTCGAAATCCCCGAAGGGAGCGGATCGTTGCCCGCGGGGGGCAGACTCAAATACGTTGGGGAATATCATGGACGGACGAGGATTGGGAGCTGGAGGGGATGACTGCTGTAGCGATAAAAAATGTAGCGGGGTAAATCGGAGATCGAATTATTGATTAATTCGTCTCACAAAAGCAAGAGTCGTCACCGCGCTTTATTGTTTCCAAAGGAAAAGGGAAAAGAGCGAAATAAAACCCTAAATATGCAATGTAAATAATACTTTTTAAAAGTAATGAAAATACAAGGCGTTTTTGAAAAGAGATCTATGGTTCGGGGGTTGGTTATACAATGGGAAGGTATTAGCACCCAATGTATCTATAGTACTCTATAGGAACCTTTTGAAATATCTGTTTATTAATAATGTTCGTTTGATTAAAAAATAAATTGTCTTGGCCGAAAAGGGGTACGGACGGGTTTTTGAAGATACGACGACCTAACGTCGAAGTCTTTTGCTTAAAGGGTATAAGTTTCGAAAAGATTGAATATTTGAGGAAAAATTATCTTAAGTTTTAATGAAATGCGAAAGTTCGCGCAATTTAGACTTGAGGACATGAAGTCAACAAATTTATCGTTTTCCCTTGGATTTAAACGTAAACAGAATAAACAAATAAATATGAAATAAATAAACAGAACAATTATGCGGATAATGATTAAATAACAATAGTTAAATGATAGACTAAATGGTATGAATAATGCATTTTTATGATTTTTGGTTTAATATTAATGAAAAGAAATGTTTTAATAGCTTTCATTTTTTACGCATTTTTTAATATGGATAAAAGCATGAGGATGAATTAAAGGGGTCAAAATATTTTTAGTTTTTTAAGTCTCTATATTTTTTATATATTTTGTATTAATATTAACTAAAACGAGTGAGTTAATTAAATAAAATATTTTTTAAGTTTCTATTTTCATATGTTTTTAGAGTTTTATATAAAGTACTATTATGAGAATTATTAAATGATTTTAAACTAATTAAAACTTAAAAGCTACTAACTTAAGTCTAACTAAAAGGGGATACTAAAATTATTGAATTAAACCTAAGGTTAAACCTAAAAAGAAAATTAGTCAAATATTAAAACTATCTAATTAGATTACGTATCTATTACTTGATTAACCCATTAATCAACTAAACTAATAATATTCTAAAAAGCTAATAGAAAGAAAAAATGAAAGAAGGGGTGTTATTAGAAATAAAAGGGTGGATAGGCAATTTCGTTTGGGCTAAAGATTTTGAGAACCTAATCAGAAACTGAAAACAGGGGGGTGCATAAGCAGTTTCGTTGGGCTTGGGGGGAAACAAGGTTAAAGGCCCAAACAATTTGTTAAGGGTTAAACGTTGTTTTAGCATTTGGGGAAATTGGATTAAGGTTAAGGTCTTGGCCGAAACGGCGCTCACTCTCTCGTTCGTCTTCTTCTCTGATCGTCCTCTTCATCCTCGCGCGTTATCCTCTTCAATCGCTATTGAAATCTCCTCCTGTCTAGTGGCCACCAGCTCCCACTGTCCTCTTCCCTCCAGCCAAACGTTAAAGGGGCGACGGATTCTACGGTACAAATTCGTTTTATCACTCGTTTTAGGGTTTCATTGTAAATGCATGTTGTAATCTTTGATCCACTTTGATTCTGATTTCGTTTTATGGTTTGTGTGAGGTGTTATGAAAGTAAAAGGGAAAAAGGAAATCGTTACCTAGAGGCGGAGATGGAGGAGGAACAGTTGGACGAGCTAGGAGGCCGAGGGCGGAGAGAACGGCGCGCGAGCTGGCTTGGAGACTCCGGTTTGTCTTCTTTGTTGCTTTAGATTTGATGATGATTTGAAAATCTTTGGTGCGATTTCTTTCCTCTTCTTCTGTCGACCTTGGCTTTGATCCTTCTCTTCTTCTTTTGCTATTGCTACTGTATACTTTGAATGTTTATGTTGCCTATGATGCTATTATTTTGACATGGTTTGGGGACATATTGTTTTGAGGGTTTATGCAGTATGCTGGGTTTTGAATGGTTTGATACAGTAGGAAAGGTTTTAGGCCATGAAGGTTTTGGTATGTGGTTTTGGTTCTGGTGATGCAGGCTTATGGTTTATGACAGTAGGCAGGTAGTAGTGCAGTTGAATGGTTTAGGCCATATGTTTATGGCTTTGAATGATACTTGTGATATTGGTTTGAGGGCTCAATCAAGTTGACAGTTTTTTTTTGGCCTAAGCAGGTTATTGAGATTTTAATGGTGTTTGAAATGGTTCTGCAATGGTTCTATGCAGTTTGCAGGTTTATGCAGTAACGAGTTTAGGGGCTTGAGGAAAAAAAATGGTTTTGTTCTACTGTTTTTTTTATGCAGTAGGAAGGGTTTTTTCTTTAATGCAGGTTGTGAAATCTCTTTGTTGAAGGGGTTTGCTAGCTTGTTATAACAACTTTCTTTCTCCTCAGGTTTACGTTACAAGCTTAGGCTGTGCTACAGGTTGGAGATTTGAATATTTGAATAATATTCTTGGCCTCCTGCATCATATTGTTACAGCAGTTTTGTTTGTATTCTATTCTTGTGCTTCTCCTTTTACTGTGATACTGCAGTAGCTTTGTCTTATAATTCCTTCTGCCTAAACCAAAACCTGCAAAACCAATTTCTTTCTCTCTTCTCTCTCTCAAGTACCAACTGATGCCTTAAGATGAGGTGTACTGTACTTGTCCTGAAACTGCATGGGCTGGAACATGATGAAAAAGGAAATGTATTGCTTGCAAAATTGTTTAAACTGCATATTTTTTAACTTGCCTACTGCATGGCACAGTGGGAGCCTCTTCCTATATGGGCATGTTTATGTTGCAATTTGGCTTTGAAAGTGCATATGCTGTTGATTTTTTGTATGCTATTTGTCAAACATTTGAATTGATGCATATTGTTTTGAACTATGCAGTGGGCTTTTAAAAATGCAATTTTTGACAAAAATGAATTTGTGCATTC